TTACAGGGGTGAGCCACCAAGCCCAGCCTCCCACCACCTCTTATTCATACCCGCCAGCTTCTCCCCTCCTTCATGTAAATTTCTGTCTTGAAACCTATCCTACAGAGCATGGCTATCATGCTCTGTAGGATACCCCAGCAATCTTCCAAGTATCAATCTTCCAATCCAGTTCTTCATTGCTCCTCTATAGCCCCCATCACTTTCATTTGCTGCTTTAGTTGCTCACACAAACCCTTGGGTTGTGGACATCTGGAGGGCTAAAGTGTCATTTAATTGACATAACGGTATGTTGCAAAGCATTCCTTGATAGGGAGTCAGGCAACCAGAGTTCCTTTTAGAGCTCAGACATGAGCTTGAGGGAACTGTGCTGATTCAGCTAAGTTCTGAGGGCTTACTTGCTTTCACTTTAAAATGTGTGGTTTGGCCTAGATTTTCCTACACATCCTCAGAATAATCAATAATATGATGTGGATATTTCTTCTCTTTACTTTTAAAAACTTTTTGAAACAGGGTTTCACTCTGTAGCCCAGGCTAGAGTGCAGTGGCATGATCATGGCTCATTGCAGCCTCAACCTCCTGGGCTCAAGCTATCTTCTTAGCCTCCTGAGTAGCTGGGACCACAGGCACAGGCCAACACACCTGGCTAATTAATTTTATTATTATTATTATTTTGAGACAGGGGTTTCACTTTGTTGCTCAGGCTGGTCTTGAACTCCTGGGCCTCAAGTGATCTCTCACCTTGGCTTCTCAAAGTGCTGGGATTACAGGTGTGAGCCACTGTGCTTGGGTAGGATGTGGATATTTCCGTTCTGTACATGCAAGCCTTAAATAACTCTGTAAACCCCAAAGGTCAGCCAAGCGTTTCCAGGTATTGTTGCTTGGGTGATGGGAAGGTGATGAAAATGAGAAAAAAATGCATCATCATCATTTAAGCTATCATGATTGTCTTCCTACAAGTCTGCTTCTTTACAGTGCAGAAAGACTTGCCATTGTTTTAGCTCCATTATCTTCTCTACCTGCCAAAATACTCCTCACACCTGAAGGTCACTTTTACAGACATCCTCTATTTTCTGGAAGCAACCCCAGTGCCTATCTTTACTACTCCCCAGCATGGTTTGTTTCTGCCTTCCAGTAATTATTGTTGGTCATATAGATGCATCTATTGCCCTCTAGACTTACAGGTAGGGATTGTTGCCTTGTAACCCACCCCAGTGCTTTTGACTTAATCAGCAGTCAATAAAAAATCAATCGATGAATGGATGATGTGATTATTTAAATTTTTCAGGTCATGGGTGTTGTTGAGTGTCCTCTTGCTCCTTTTCCATTCCTGTCTTCTCCATACTGCTGCAATGCCTTTTATCAAAGAAGGATGATTTTCAAGAGATGGGAATAATGGAAGGAATTGTAAAAAGAAAGTCACGTGATTTTCTACTGACAGTTTATTTGGGAGGTGTGTGGATGTGATTTGATAAGGCCCTGGGATCATGGAATACTGTGCAGACTTGAATTGGTATGCCGCTCTTAGCACTTAAAATCTAAGTGTGTCAGACTAATGGCAGTGTGGGTTCCTGGATTGGATTTAGGAACAGAAAAAAAGGATATTAGTGGAGAAACTGGTGAAATTTAAAGAAAGAACCACTGCTAATGTCTTAGTTTTGACAAATGTACCATGGTTATGCAACGTTTCACCCTTAGGGGAAACTGGGTGAAGGGTCCATGGGAATGTTATGTCGTTATCTTTGCAACTATTCTATAAATCTAAAATTATTCCAAAGGACAAAGTTTATTTTTAAACAAGTGGGTGGGCCAGAGTGAAAATTTGAGTTTGGCTAGCAGACTCTTGCTGTGTGAAAATTCTCACATCTCATTATATCCTAACAATTTGTAGAATAGGTTGAAAAAGAGAAGGGCAGGGAAGTTTAACAATGCTCCTGTAAAAGATTCATGAAAAGGCAGCAAAAAAGGATAAAAGCGAAAAAAAAAAATGAGATTGTGGGCAGTTGTTGGTGGGGGAGGCATATTGTTAGAGGTGGGAAGTCAAGTGGCTGTTCAAGAGGTGGGTCAGTGCAGTGACCCTGGGCTCAAAATCAGCACACTGGCTACTTGTTTTAGCCCCAAGGACTTGAGCACATTCCTGTGCCTGCATTTTCTCATCTTTGAAATGATCTGAGACTCACAAATAAATATATGTAAAATAAAATAATTCCTTACAACAATCAAGTTTTCCTATTCTCCAAAATTTTCTCATTTTTGCTCAAGAACAAAAAAGTTCCTCAGTCGTGGGCTGGTTATGGTCAAAAACCTCACAACAGCAAGTCCGATTCTGCCTGAGCATTTTCACTTTGCACTTGGCAACTTTCAGCTTCCTCTTAGAAGAATGTTCATGCCAATGCTAAAGCCATTTGACTTCTAAATATAGTGTAACAGATGTTAATAGGAACCGTATTATTTTCTGTTACACAAAGAGTCTTTCTTTAAAAGCCAGACACCAGTCCAGTTCTGGTTAGGCTCAACCATCTCAATCAAGGTAAATAGGACAAGTTTTATTCCTTTGTCAAGTATTGAAGATTTTGGCATCTTACACCAGATTTTCTTAACTTGACCCATGAACAAGTAGCCATGGCTAGATGCTAGAGAGATTTGTCAGGGCCAGGCACAGTGGCTCACACCTATAATCCTAGCACTTTGGGAGGCTAAGTTGGGAGGGTCACTTGAGTTCAGGCATTAAAGACTAGTTCAGGCAAAATAGCAAGACCCTGTCTGTATGATAAATTTTTACTAATTTGCCAGACATGGTGGCACACACTTGTAGTCCCAGCTACTCAGGAGGCTGAGGCAGGAGGATTGCTTGAGTACAGGAGTTGGAGGATGCATTGATGTGTCAGCCTGGTTGACAGATGAAGCCCCTATCTCTTAAAAAAAAAAAAAAAAGAAGTTGAATGTGACATTTCATACATATATCCTTTTTTCCCCCTCTATGGAGTGGTTTCATTCTTCATTCTATGAAGAAATCTCTATGGAGTGGATTCATTCATTTTGGGTACAAAACCCAAAAGTGGCAAGAAACACTTTCATACACACCACTCCATAGCAAAAAGCCTAAACTATACTTGTTATATTTAAGTACAGATTCAGTAATCTTAATGTCTCACACTAAAAACAAATACCCAGATACTGGCTGCTTGGTTGATTTTACTTTCTGACCCCACAGCACCTAGCAACTCAGTAGGGGGCACCTCAATGCACATTTGCCTATAACTACTGCTTTCTCATAGCTGTGGCATTGTCTTCCTTTCCCTGAAAAGGTGGATTTTCACTTGAGGTGCCTTTGTTCATCAAACCTTATCAATTTAAATGATCTCTCAAGAATACCAAAGTGACTCTGGCTCTTCATGCCCTTCTAGTCCTTTAAAGACTGGCCATGTTTATTTATAACACAGGCTGTGACCAGTGAGAATGTGGACTTGTAACCCATTTGAATGAGAATTCCTTATGGAACAAGAGATCTTCTGGCTGGCAGAGCATGAGGTGTCCCAAGTGCAATTTAATTGTGCGATCCTGGTGTGATTTGAATATAGGCAGCACACAAGTTCCTTCTGTCGATTTCAATGTCTCCCTTAAAGAGGCTTACACATGAAATTTCTTGGGCCGTTCCTCAAGAGAAAGGTGCTGTACAAATGAAGCTGAGAATATAAATTTCATTTGGTTTTGGATGAATGGACCCAATTATAAGGCTAAAAATGATTCCCTATTTCAGCCCCTTTGGATACTCCTCCATTAGTCATTTCTAAAATTATTGTGAACTTAACTTTTGGATAATACTTTAGGTTCTCCAGCAATTTAACTTCCCTTTGAAAATGAACCAAAATCTAAGATTAATGTACCTTATAATGTGGTCCTCCCGAAGAGGAATAGAAGAATGTTAATAGACACTACACAAGAGATATTGTAGGGGTGCCCACTTTCCCCCCATTTTCCAGTAGGTATATGATCAAATATAATACTAAAAGACTAAATGCTTGTGGCTCTTTTATATATATTTAAAACACACAGTAAGAACATAAGAACATCTCAAATCATTTAGAAGGTAAAAGGGAGTTATCAACCAAAATCTTTGGAAATTTCATAAAATTTAAATATCTGCAAACAGTCCAACCAAAAAAGAAAAAAAAAATCCCAACATTTGGCTATGGAGGGCACTTCACGTGAACCAAATGGCGTTATAACATTTTCCTTCAACTAGTCACTAAACCCAATTAGAAAGAATACAAGAGCAATATCGGAGACATCCTCAAATACCACGTACTTGATTAGAACATTCTGTTAGGAAGTGCTCAGCTACCGCGGGCTTTCCTTTACATTGCATACATTACTTTACATTTCTACAGTGCAATGTTGAAATAGCCTCCAAATTTTGCAAAGTAGATTGATGTCCATTCTACAAAAATAACTTACAGTACATAACACTGAATAATTTTAATCTGTACATTTTTTCCTTCCATAATAGTTGACACGTCAGTTTGTACAAGTTAGAAAAAAACATCTGGTTGTTTACATCTGGATTAATAGTCAACAGAGGCAACCAGAAGTGGTGGGGCGGGTGTAGTTTGAGAAAGTATAAATACAGTGTTAACATTAACTGTTGTTAACAATATTCAGCTTTTAACAAAGTGATACAAAATAAAGCATCTTAGTTTTTTGACTGAAAAGATCTAGCTGAGAATGTTCTGCCAAACAGCCGACCAACTGATGCAAAAGGTTAAGGCTGACTTGACTTAGCAACCTGCAGCACAACCGAAAACATTGGTGCAGTTCAGAGCTCTTCAAATGCATAGCTTCAGTGTTACATGCACATTAATTATATTCCTTCAATTAGTTAATCCTCTAGACAGTTTTCTTTTTGTTTTGCATGCATCTCGTTCCATTTTCATTAAGGGCATCTCTTCCTTGATCAATCATGTGCTTTGCGTTACAATTTGTTTCTGTGATTTTTTTTTTGTATGTTTTGTTTGTTAAGCTGTCAATACCTCCAACACTTGGAAAATGAAATATAGATGCAATTTACTTACAGAAGAGAATCATAGCTATATGGACAATGCAAAATGAAATGAAACAAGTGTCAGAAACAGTTTATAAAAATGGCACATTTATTGCTACAGAACGGTCATGTACATGACTTCATCGAATAACTACAGATGGGAAACAGGTAATGGCCTTGACCAAGCTGGGTTTGTTTTTGTCTTGAAGGAACTCCAGCACACAACCTGTTTGGACACTTCTACAAATCAGAAATACACCAAAAACATGAAAAAATCGAGGCACTCAGCCACACATTGAAAACAAGGTGTAACTGTTTATCTTTTTTTTTTAAATGTTTTCCCTTTTTTTCTTTTTTTTTAACAATTTTTTTAAGTTTTTAATGCTGCAGCTATGTGTACAGTCGCAAAAAATTTCCCCGCTGCGACCTACAACTAAAAAAACAAAAACAAAAACAAAACAAAAAACAAACAAAAAAGCTACCCATACAGTTTCGTCTTGGTAACACATGGTAAAATAACATCTTTTAAATAGTAAAATAAAGTAACAAACTTTTACTCATAATGATTCCAAAAATCTACAAAGAAGAAATATTCAGAATCTGACAATTTTTTTTGTAATATTCATGATATAAAAGGATTGCTCCTGCGAAAAATAAGCCAAATATATTTTTTATTTTTAAATTTAGTTTTTTTTTTTTCCTACTAGGGTGTACTACAGTCTATTTTATAGCAAAAGAGCACTAGACAAACAAAGCTTTATAACAAAAAGCCAGGCACTGATACATGGTAAATCTCTGCTTTTTTTTTTTTTTTTTTTTCTTATCTTCACTTAATTGCATCACAAGTAACAAGAATGAAAAAGGCCACAGTTCATATATTTTCACCATTACATATGTCTATAATACTTGAAATGAGTATGGCAAAACCAGCACTGCACAAAGATGAGTCCACTTCAAGTCCCATGAGAAAGAGCATGTCTCTAAAGAAAAACAAACAAAACCAAAGCAAAATAAAAAGAGAGGCCTAAAGGCCTTGGTGCCCCATTGTGTTGGAATTCATCATATTCCATCTTGACTTTTTTTGCTTCCAGTCAGCCAGCAGACTAAATTTTTGTGCTTGTTTATGCTGAAATTGTTTCATTCCTGACTCAAGTTCACTTTTGGACACAGATCATATTCTGCCTGTTGGATGCAAAAGATGAAAATCCTCTTAACTCCAAGTCTTGGTTCGACTCCCTCCCCACTCCCCAACCCCTCATCAAAATCAAGATCACAAATAAAAAAAAAATTCAGAAATAGGAAAAAGTGAAAAACAAAAAAGGAATCGGAAGACTGAATCAGAACCAGTTGCACCACTGGGTGGACTGACAGTTGTATAAACATTAGTGTTCCTTGCAGCTACACAGAAGACAAATGGTAAAAATTTCTAGATGAACAGATCCCTATTCTGCATATTCATAAATTACTTGAATGTGGAGGTGGATCAACTGTTCCAAGTTGCTTTTAAGTCCGAGTTTCTGAAAGAGATCCCCGCCTAAGTGTCATCATATAGATAGTGTAGTATGGACCCTTATGAAATTTTTGTATAGTACTTGAATCTTAACTGTCTTCCGCTGAATTTCATTTGAAAATCCAGTGCAGGATACCAATATCTTACCTGGGTTTGATAATTACAAAACAACAACAATAAAAAACACACTAAAAAGGCCACATTCCCTTTTTTCTTTTTTAATGGGGATACAATCCAATTAATATGAATAGGTGCAGACTACGTTTCTCCACCAAGCAAAACCTAGCGAGCAGCTTTCGGTGGCCGTTAGAATTTTTACTTATTTCTAAAGGGAATTCAACAATAGAGGTATTGCATTACTGAGTAATGAATACATCAAAGCTGGTGAACAATAAATTGCAGCTTTTACTCTGAGTGAGAACAAAATATAAAGCACCAATTTAAAAAATAACCAAATGACTACAATTAACTTTTTTGCTTTGTTTACAGATTTGAAAAACTTTAATTCAGCTCTATTAAGCACCTTTATGATAACATGTATCAAAAGTGCCATTCTTAAAATGTACATCAATGCAGGGAGTGTTTCCAGTTCCCTAAAGAGTAAACACCGTATTTTCTTCTGTACACTTATCCTGAATGTGATTAGAGTATACCTGCTTCCTATATAATATTTGTTCCTAGGGATACCCGCCTTGGTAGACTATACAAAATGAGTGCAGAATGTACCACTAAAAGGGAATCTTTAACATACGGAGGGAACAAGTACACATGGTTTTCATTATTCAGGGAGGAGAGGAGAGTATACATTATTGTCTTCCATGCCCTTCTCTGAGCCTCTTTGTTCATACATGTCACAGGAAAGCCCCAAAATAACTTTTCATGAAGTTTGATTTCTGCTATTCTCCTAAGGTTTTAATCCACCTCCACATTTTAGGAACTTATCAACAAATCAAAGTTATTTTAGTTTTATCGCTACTGAACATATTTACAGTTTTTCAACACACACACAGCTAATCAAAATGTTTATGGGTTTGTAAAAGATGACCACGTGGTAACTATCTTATTTGTTCTTACATTTTCAGAAATGAACATAAAATTCTGATTCTTGTAGCTCACTATTTCATTTAAATGAGACTTCTTTTTAAACCACACAGCTTAAAAAAAGAAACAAAAACTGATACAATGTATTAAAACACATAATAACAAGAGTCTACATGTAAAAATATAACTTTTACATACACAATTTCAAAATAATGATACGTTTGCCATTTGTTGCATAAAATTTACAAATGTATTTCATTACTATATAACTGGCAAAACAGGAGAACAGATGGAACATTTAGACCATTTCAATGGATTTATGGCATTTACTCAGTGCTGATAGGTGGAAAAACTACTTGAACAGGGATTTTTTTTTTCTTAATACATGCCAAGATTGTGTGGCTGTAAAAATAGAAACGAGTTAGAGACAAAAGGATGCTGACAAATACTTAACTAGGAGCACTATTTGTTTACTGCACTATACACCAAAGTCAATCATTATAAAGATTCACGATGGAAGTTGGTTCAATTGTGCCCAGACGTCAAAGCTAGCTATCTGATGAGTCGCTGTGCCATAGCTTGATCTATGTTTCTATCAAATATGGTAAGTATAAACTTCATTCATACTGGCCAGAGAAATACTGCACTACCCCTCCTCAAAAAAGTGCAACTTAATGCTTTAGGACTCATAAGGCTTGTTATAATGCTGCATGATGATTGAATATTGGCATTTTTCAGACGAAGGAGGAGGCAGTTAAGCCATCTACATTTTAGTAAACCCATTTTGAAAAAAAAAAAATCAAGAAAGCAACAAAATCAATCAGCTCTGTCACACTACTTGCAATTTTCTCATTTGACGGATTTTGAACTTTGTTTTTTTTGTTTTTGTTTTTTTCCAAAAATCTGACCATGTATTCAGAAACGCCTCACTGCACACTACTTCGGCTACACAGGTAGGTAACACTTTAATCATTTTGTTAAATCACAGCCACTTTGATTATGTTATGTTTCCGATGATATAAACATTGGAAGGCACAGTGGTAACATTGTAGCATTCTAACCTTGTACCTCTGAAAATCCCAGAATAGGGTCACAAATGCAACATTACAATTCAGACAAACTCTTTTTGCCGTATCTTGGTAATGCTGCTTGTAATATCTACACATGATGTGACTTTTAAGTCTTGTGTTCCCAAAAGACTGGAGAAACAACTTTCTACTTATTTATGAATGAGAAGCAACATCAGGGTCAGCATTTCATCCTGCACTACCCCTCTGGAAGCAGAGTTGGCACTACAGGTTATGATAACAAACCAGGGAAAGGGACAGAAATAAGACCAAAAAAAAAAAAATCCATATTTACAGTAAAATCTTTCTTTTAAAAAAGTTAATCAGTACTATTTTTTTACAGGAGAAAAAAGTCTGAAACAAATGAACAAAAGCTTACCATAGTCACTAAATTTTTAATATATATTTATATATATATTTATATATATATTTGTCATAGGTCTATAAGATCCATCTGTTCCTCCTACCCTAAGGAATGGCTAATGTCATCACTTCGTTGTCATCAGGACGTTTGCTGGTTTTGTTACTAGGGCAGCCGAGCTTCCCCTAATTCAATATCCAGTAATTATAAACACTAGCTGACTTGAATACCAACAAAAACGTTCATGTAGTTTTCTTCAGAAGTACACTTTTTCATTATTGCAAGTTTACAATTTTTTTTAAATTAAATATTTTTTTTCAGACTTACAAATTAATTATATTTTTTTTTTCCAAAAGAAGTTTAGGCACAAATGCATTGTTCCACAGTGTGGAAAGATTGCCGTTCAGTCTCTGGGCTGTGTCTCAGCCTGTACATACTGCTTTGCACATTCTGAATGATATGTTAAAGAAAGTCGTCCCTCAAGTTGCACTTTTTTCTTTCTTTTTTTTGTTTTTCTGTTTTTTGATAATTGGGAATGCTGAAACCTCTTGCGTCTGCGATTCATAACTACTCAGACTTGTCTTATATTACAAAAAAGGGGGTTAAGGAGAAGTGTTTATGTGGGTTTAAGATAATACAGCTGTTAAGGAAGTGGTCTCTTGTTTTAATGAAGCAATGTGGCAACTTGGACCTGAGAAAGGAAAAAAGAGAGAAAAAATTCATTAATACAGATGTAACAGAGGAAGGGTTTGTTGTTGTTGTTTATTTTATTTTTTAAATTCTTTTTCCATGAAATAAAGTATCTGTCAATTTGGGTAAAATTCACTTTTATGGCTGATATGCTGCTGAGAGTTACAAATGATCGATTTCAGAAACGGTTGAAAACAAACTTGCCCTTTTACATCTGTCCCATGTGATTTGATGCATCTCCCATTCCAGGGTGCGGGCCGGCCAAGGAGAGTGGGGGAGGCTCCGAGGACACCTTCTCTTCCTCCCTTCTTTTCAGGCAGGCGGCTTTCGGATTCAGATTCCTTTCTGTGGAGGATTAAAGCACAGGACCTTTGTTTAATGCCGAGGCTTCTGACAGAAGGCAGCAACGCACTCTTCTTGCATGTCTGACCTTTTTCTCAGTGTTTATATTACAGAACAAAAGGAACAGTTACTAAGTACTGTGGCGGTCCATTTGGTCAGTCACTAGTAAAAGGTGAACTGCACGGTGAGTGTATACAGCCTCTTTACAGTGTGAGCAAAGGTTGGTAAAGCAAATAAACTAAGCTCCACTGACAGGACATATGGAAAGTTGCAATACAATCTTAGTTATAAGAGAATCCTATGACTAGCAGGGTGTGGTGGCTCATGCCTCTAATCCCAGCACTTTGGGACGCCGAGGTGGGTGGATCACAAGGTCAGGAGTTCAAGATCAGCCTGGCCAAGATGGTGAAACCCCATCTCTACTAAAAATACAAAACTTAGCCAGGCATGGTGGTGGGCACCTGTAATCCCAGCTACTCGGGAGGCTAAGGCAGAGAACTGCTTGAACCCAAGAGGCAGAGGTTGCAGTGAGATGACATTGTGCCACTGTGTTCCAGCCTGGGAGACAGAGCAAGACTGTCTCAAAAAAAAGGAGAATCCTACAACTTAATTACAGGAGGCTGCCTCATGGATTTAGACACAGTCTGTAATTGAAACAGTTCTTTGGAATGATGCTTAAAAGTCCACTGTCTGGGTGGAATTAATCCCAGCACTTTCAGAGGCCGGGCAGATCATGAGGTGAAGAGATTGAGACCATCCTGGCCAACATGGTGAAACCCTGTCTCTACTAAAAATACAAAAATTAGCTAGGTGTGGTGGCACATGTCTGCAGTCCCAGCTATTTGGGAGGCGGAGGCAGGAGAAGCACTTGAACTCAGGGGTCATAAGTTGCAGTGAGCTGAGATCACACCACTGCACTCCAGCCTGGTGACAGAACGAGACTCCATCTCAAAAAAAAAAAAAAAAAAAAAAAGTCTACCCTCTGCCACTGCTCAAGGCTGGCGTGCCCATCACAGCTTGTGCCTGCTATGAGCTCCCCATGAGCTCTGTAAGGAGGCTGGCCTGCACTCGCCTCGGACTTGCTGCTCCAGACTGAGGATGACGGCCACCGCCTGGTGGAGGATCAGGAGCTTGGTCTGGGGCTTGTCACTCTTGAGGTGGAGCTGCACCATGCGGCCAAGCTCTTTGAAAGCCTCGTTGATGTCGCGGACACGCAGGCGCTCTCGGGCGTTGTTGGCCATCCTCCGCTCCTTCTCACGCTCCGCCTTCTGCTCCGGCGTCAGGTCCTCATCGTCATTATTGCTGTGGGACAAAAGGGACGTGACATTTTCTAATGGTGTGGGGGAAAAAGAAGGTGTCTACATTACTTTGTTTGCTTCCAGAGTTTTCGGGGAACTTTTCCATCTTATGCCATATCTTTGGCAGAATTTTTGCATCCACTTGACCTGGGGACTGGTTTAGATGGCTGTGATGTTCCACAATACACAAGATATTTGGTTTTCTCGCAGACATTAAACCTGAACCAAATAGGTGAGGATGCCGTAGATTAAAGTTCGAGTGCAGAGTGTGCCCATACTGATGCGGGGGTGGGGGAGTTAAAACAAGGCTTTTCTTAGCAGTGGGGTTACACTCTGCAAAGTGTAAGTTCACCAACTTATGCTTAGCCTATGCTGTATAGCCATGCTTCCAAATGACTTTAAATTTATACTTCATCTTTTTTCACATATACAAGACGTTTCATACCGTGACATCTGAAACCTAGAGGAAACAAGTAATTGAAAAATGATTTTGACAGGTCAAAAAAATACAAGGCGGCTTAACAGCAGGAATAAGAAAAACCTGTATTTAAGACATCAGAGCAATGGGAGTGAAGACAGTGAGGCTTTTATCCAAGTGTCACCATTACCTTGCTTTGAAGGCCTGGTCAACCCACTTACCCTATGGGAGTCTCATTTTCTCTATTAAATAAAAGGTTAGAAAAACATGACTTCTCTGGTCTTTAATGTTATGGATGTTTATGATCCCCAGAAGAAGTTTGGGAAACCTGAATTGATATTAGCCATGAAAAACGATTCAAAAAACCAAACACCTACAGCTTATGAATGACCAGGACCTCACTGTGAGTCAAAAATGAAGGCAGAAAGTAGGGCACAGAGACTCATGCCCATAATCCCAGCCTGGGCAATATAGTGAGACCTTGTCTCTACAAAAAAATTATTCGGGCACAGCGGCACACACCTGTAGTCTCAGCTACTTGAGAGGCTGAGGTGGGAGGAACACTTAAATCTAGGAGGTGGAGGCTGCAGTGAGCTGTGATCAGTCACTGTATACCAGCTTGGGCAACACGGCCAGATTCTCTTACCGAAAAAAAAAAAAAAAAAAGGCCAAAAGCTAATTTCTGACTGTGAAAACCAAAATACCCCCTGATTCATAATAAAGGCATGGTTGGGCCCAGAATAGTCTGGAAAGATAAGATCAGTTCTGTCCATTTCTGGGTGCAACAGTGACAAATTAAAAACTTTTGAATGGAAGGCAACGAGGACGATGAGCCACCTGGAAAGCATGTCATATCAGGAAGTCTTCATGGAAGCAGGTTCAAATATTCCAAGGGCTATGTTAAAAAGAGAGGTGTGCATCATGTCTTGTCTCAAGAAGGCAGAGTAGCACACAGCTCTGAACGACTATTGTGAATAAACATGAGTGAGGATTTTTGAGGGGCTTATGAGAGACATAAAAAAATGAAACAAACTTCACTGAACATCAGTAGACTCCCCATTACAAGAACCTACATGGAAGGGACTAACAATTAACCTAGAGGGTAAAGTATGGATGGATCTATGGGATCATGAAGGTTAACCTCTACTTTAAAATTTCACACATCAGAAATGTTCACAGGATAAAGATCATTAAACACAACACTTCGGAGTTGGAAGATGTGGGAAATTATCTAGTCAATTCAATGTATACTTAATGAATGCTGGTTTAAAATGTATGACTCCGGTCTTCCATTTTGGAGAATCACTGGGTAACTTCCAAGTGGCAGTAAAGACCAACTACACTTGAGAAGCTCCAACCAATCAAAAGTGGGAGTGGTGTTCTTGGGTTGCAAGTACACGTTACACATAAAGACGATGCACATAAGTCAAGAACACGTGGGTGAAGGAGAAAAGTCAGGGGCAAGGAGGATGACACCACAGAAGAATGCTGTAAGATCAGGCTCTCTCGTCACAGCTTAAGCGCCTTTCCAGATGGTACTGTCCGCCACAGGTGTGTATGGTAAACATGCAATTCAACTGAGTCCACTGGAAAAGACTCTCTTTCTCTGCCTTCTGCTGATCCCTCCTCTGCCCTTATCCTCGACTGCTGCCAATGCCAAGGAAATTAACTTATAATTAATTCACTTCTATATTCCACTATGCAAATAGGCTATAAAAAGCAAAAGGAAACAGTCTCTGCTGGGCCTGTCCTGAAGCTAAGCATTCGGGTGATATGTTTATGTACCCAACATGTGCCACACCTTACACAAAGGGGACTAGAAAATGGGAACTTTTCTTCCAAAGGTTTTCAGGCTAATAATCAATTAGAATTGGTTATTCACTTATAAATAATTGGTTATGCAAATAAAACTGCCTAGATTTGAAAAGCACTGCCTTATAATATAGTTTTGGACACACACATAAGTAAATGTCATAAGAGTGACCTTTTAAATAGGAAGTTTCTCAACAGCAAGTGAAAATGTTCTGAAACTTCAAAGAACCCATTAACATGCCTAAGTTTGGCCACAGTAAGTTAAATTACGAAGAACTGACTGGACTAACACAGAAGCTGTTAAAGGTATGAAATCCCCTCCTTGGGATTTCTTGCCAACTTGGCCAAGAATCAGAAAACTACAATGAGGAAGGAAAAAGTTTATCTAGAAGCATTCAGCATTTTAAAACTTGTGGCAGGATGTGGAATTGATCTCAATAATTACAAAGGCAACATAAAGAGGCAGCCTGTTCCTAATTCACAAGAGCTTAGATAGAACCTTGAGAGCCACAGCCTTTAGAAGGAAGCTGTAGTCTTAGGACAATTGGTTAAATTTTCAGTATAAACAACCCAAGGGAATTGAGGCAAAGTACATGGGTGTTGGTATTCAAAAACCATCTGATTACCAGATTAAAGTCCACGGGGACAGAGACTGGAATGTAAAGATAGCAAATATTTAAGAAAACCAGCCAGAAGCTATTTTCCTGCAGTTGTGTTTTCCATAGAAATGAGTATCCAAGAGGAAAAACCATTAGCAATTTAGGTATTACTCTTATATACATCAATATGTGTAGGATAAATCTAGGAAATCAGTATTTTCCCACTTTAGAGGTAAGAAAACAGTTATTGTTGGCACATACATCAACTGAGTTTTTAACACGGCTACAATCTTTCTTTGGAAATATTATAGAGACAACATTTCTGACCAAATTTGTAGAATAAGTAGAGTTTTAAAAATAAACTGTTTGTACTTGAATCAGATACAAATTGTTTTCACTGTGTCATTAGCATTGGGTCCAAATTCATCAATGCCGAAACATTTTAGGCCTCCCTAGAGTACAGGTATCTTAAACAATACTTTTAGTACTTCTAGAGTAGGCCTTTAATTTTCTTTTCAGCTGTAAGCTGTAAATTTACCTGCCAGGAAAAAACTGAATAGTTTCTTCCCGTTCTGTTCACTTCATCAAAGTCCAATAAAGGAATTAAATGAAGCGACAGTATTATATACTGTTACCTAGATCTTGACCTAGTAATTGATTTGATATCCTTCTTGTCGTCATCTAATTTCTTGTCCTCCGAAGATTTCGTGTCTTGTAGGTTCTCATCGCCCTCGTCGTCGGATTTGATCTCAGAGCTGCCAGAGGAGACACTCTGCCCCTGTAGTCCTGGTGGCATGCCTACAGAAAAAGAGAAATCAGGTGACATGTACACCGAAAACTCACTGCCTGCACAGCAGATTGCAAGGCTGCCAGCAGACAATTCATACTGCTGAACTGTGATCCTTCTGTCACTTTTTTTCCCTGCTATCTGTTGAAGTTTCAAAAATGCACCTGCAGAAACAAGTTTTCCCTGCATTGGCTCTAAGGTTAAATTCTATTTTGCAATCTTTTGGAGTAGATGGTAATTTCACTGTCTACAAAACATCAACTTAATTGCAATGAAAATCATAATCATGAAAATCACACACCCAATGTTCTGATTAAGAACCCAAGTAAATATCAGCTATTATATTGAGTTTCTTCCATATGCAATGATTTAATAGAAAAATGTCCTTAAAATATAATTCCCAGGGAGTATGCTAAATATGTGTAGTCAAGACTTCAATAGGTACCCTAATGATATTCTGAAATTAGGCTTCTCTTATTCTCAAGGAGTAATCAGCATTTTAAAATGGTACATATGGAAGGCAGTTTGCTACTCATTTTAGAAATTTCTAGCTTTATCACTGCTCAACTTTCCAAGTCACACTGCATTTTAAAACACGACCCTATGTAATAACTTTCTTTTAAGGTAGAAGCATGTCTGTCCAGTATTCCCCATTACTTGTAATCTGTGTATTCTAGAACCTTGCCACTCAAACTTTGGTCCAAGTGGCCTTATCACCTGTGAGTTCATTAGAAATGGACAATCCCCGACCTACTGAATCAGAATCTCCATTTTAATAAGATTCTCAGGCAGTTTGAGAAGCACGGATTTAGGACAAAGAGGGCAAAAACCAAAGCTCTTGAAAAGAAAGCTCCCTGCCAGGCGGGGCAGCTGACGCCTGTATTCCCAGCACTTTAGGAGGCTGAGTCGGGTGGATTACTTGAGGTCAGGAGTTCAAGACCAGCCTGGCCAACATGATGAAACCCTGTCTTTACTAAAAATACAAAAAATAGCCAGGCATGGTGATGCATGTCTGTAATTCCAGCTACCTGGGAGGCTGAGGCAGGAGAATCCCTTGAACCTGGGAAGCGGGGGTTGCAGTGGGCTGAGATTGCATCACTGCACTCTGTCTGGGCAACAAAGTGAGACTCTGTCTCAAAGCAGCAAAAGAAAAAGAAAAAAAAGTTCCATAAAACAATTACTATTCATAGAAAAATGGGCAGACATACCCATACATAAAATTGACACTCAGATCTGTCCAATGTTGAACAGTTGGAAAAATGCCCATGTATTCCTGTGGCAATGTTATCATTTTTTATATTAAACATGAAGGGACTGAGAAGATGTTATCTAAGTGACTGCTGCTCAGCTGGCCAGCCACAGCCCAACTTCCCGGGGTCATGAAAAGCCACTCGTAGTCACTGGTACTAGGCAATCATTACAGGGCTAGCCGACACAAAAGTGAAAATCATGCAAGCAGCTCCATTTTGTAAATGCACCTATATTTCCTTCCATCTTAACAAAAACAATTTCCTTCCTTCCTATTCATTTGGAAATATCATTTTCAGGCCACAACTAACCACATTAGAGGACCTGAATGAGAAAAATGTGGAAATAGCTAAAATAAAATTTCCTCTCATCAGTCTGTGGCCTCATTCCCTGCTGATGTAGGACTGAGATTTCAGAGGATGTTTGAGGAAAACAGTCCCTGGAGAAATAAGATTAGTGGGCGAAGTTCTAAATACTTTCCCATTTACTTACGATTTTTGTACCCAATTTGATTCCTGGGTTTCTGCCAGTGCTTCTTGAGGGATGAACTCCAGAGGCTGGGTATCAACACTGGGCTTATTGTGGAAGTGAGGTCAGAAGTGCCCTGGTGAGGCTGACCTACCTCTGTAAGGGTCCTGGGGTGGGTTCAGGTCAGGGGAAGTTGCAGACTGGACAGGAAGCTGTGGGACCGGAACCTGGTTTGGCAGAAGAGAATGGCTGCCTCTCAGGGCCACGCCATCTTCACGATGGGTCCCCACCTGAAAGGGTGAGAGAACCCAGAGAGGTGAGCAGGAACCAGATGCCACACTAGGACCTGAGGCAGGCAGGCTGGCTTTTCAAAAACCATACTCCCAAACGCATTTCACTAGAGGGCGCTGGAGGACCGCACATGCACCTATAGTTTCCTGTGAAAACACTTAACACTCAGTAAGATGCTGTGCTGTACATTCAGTGACAAATATGGCAGAGTAGCTCAGGCAGGTAAAACGTCAAATTGTCTCCCAGGGTGCTGCAGTGGAGCGCACTGATTCGTACCCATCTGTCTTCTATCATGTCCGCCAACAGATCTGACAATTATCTTAATGCCCATATGCTTAATTGTGGGCTTCTCAATTCCCCCATTGCTATCGGAAATCCTACAGGAATTTCAATTTGGCATTCGACTTTCATTTCAGGGGATAAGATTCTCAGGCCTGCCATTTTTTTTTTCCATAATGCCAGCTAAGCCTCTGACAGCGGAAGCTACAGCAGTATGGGACACAGCCTCTGCTTGGTACAAATATAATAAAATGTCACCTGGCTTTCCAAAACTGGCAGCCCATTCCAAATTAATGTTTACTGTATTTCATCAGCTGCTGAGTTTCAAATCCAAAGGGGGATGGTTTCTGCCAATGCCACCACACCGGAAAATGTACCAATAAAGGTTTTATTAAACACACCAGTAATGCCATCATTGCCAGGCAAGGATGTTTGGACATTTTTCCATTTTTTTCCCTCACTATTCTGATCCTAGAAAGACACTATATTGTAAATACTCTTCATGCTTCCAAGAATAAAATTATAGAGTACAGCATGATTACTTGATTAAAAAAAGTACTGCTGAGCTTTTATTAACTACTACTATCTACCATAGGGTCCAGGGACATTGAACTTGTGGCATTGAACTGAGACAGCAACTGCTTACTTTATAGCATCTGCCTTCAAGCAAAAACGTGAAGCATTTGTAAATTAAGAGGACAATCAGTAATTCACATTTTCTTTTCTATTTCCAAGTATTTTCTTAGCCTATGGTTAAGTGAGCATTTACACAGGATGGTGGGTCCAAAACACAAAAAATTAACCATACATTTATACTTCCATGATTCAGGTTTTTTTTTTTTTTCCAAGTCAAAAATATAAAACCAGAAAGGAGAATCTTCACTCTGTTGTTACCAAAATGTTTTAAAAGGGTATTTCCAAAGAATGCATTAACAGCAGGAATCTGAACCAACAACAATCAACTTCACAGGACCTAATAAGCACACACTTTTTAAAGGCAGCTAAGTATTAAGTATGGCCTTTAGTATTTTGATTTTTACTTAAAATATATTTAGGTAACTGATCCTGAAATAGACCGTTTTTATATTTGTGTGTGTGTGAGTGTGTGTGTGTGTGTGCACGCACTCTAAATTTTTTCTAAAACTTTGGGTGGGGAGTATCACATAAATCATGTAATTATTTGGATTCAAAATACAGCATGAATAGGAAAATACTGGAGGCTTATGAGCATCAGGAAGGATAAACGAATGTTTCAGCAGAGAGATGTGGGAAGTCCAGTGCTGCTCCCGGGTGCCTGTGTTGCAACACAGAACCTTCTGAATGGTGGTTATCTGGCCTCTGTGGGGTGCTTCAAATGTAATGAGACTGATATCTCCCAGACAGCCCATTCCATTTTTACCACAAATTGGCCTCTTTGTAAGTTTCACTCACTGATCCTAGTTTCAGCTACTAGAGCTCTATGGCATTAAGTACAGGCCTTTTTATTTTTATTTTTTAAAAAATGTATTCAACTCCATTGCCTGCCACACCACTCCTTTCCTCTGTGACTGAAGTCTGCTCTCTTACAGGCAGACCAGGCCCACCTGCTCCTTCAACCATTTCTTTTATTCAGAAGAGTGATAGCTATTTTCCATTGAGGTTTTGATTTGCTGTTTTTATATTCATGCATTAGAAAACTGATTCAATCAATGATTATCCTTTCAATCTAAGATGTCAACTTGTAAGCATGAATTTTCACAGGCCTTGATCAAATGGTGGCTCTTTATGTCTGTCAATCAATATAAACCCAAATAATTCTTCGTGCTGATTCATATTTATTTGTATTCCCAATGGATGAATTTCTTGAATTTCCAAAAGGATGACTCTAAGCCAAAATCACTGAAAGTAACCACAGATTTGAGCATAGAGAAGTATACTCCTATTTCGGAATCATTAACACTCTCAAGGCTTCTTTGCAAGCGTCTATGCCATAACTTAGGGTTAGTATTTTGCTTTTTACTTAAAATATATTCAGTTATTCATCTTGAAAATTTTTCCCTCTAGATAACACTGAGATAAGGTCTCAAAAGAGGAAAAGAGAACCCACGCAACCGTACATGACAACTGGTACATAAGAGGTACATAATAATTGCAGACAGGATCTGTGTTTTGACTGAAAATACTTGCATGTTATATAAAAATAACAGCCTATGTAGTTCAAGAACCCTCAAAACTCAAGCTTTCTTCACTTATGGTGATCTTCGTCTCTATTTTGTTAAAATCCGTTCAATTTTAAATCTTTCTCCTTTACAATGACAGTAAACTCTTAAATACTATAAATATATTTGAGGATACTGTTGTTCCAACTACATTTTTTTGGGATTTTAATGTTACCTAACTGCATCTATTTTCTATAGATTATCTTAGACCATCTCAAATAATATCAATAATTTTCCATAAAGAATGTTAGAGACAAAGTTGTTCTGATGTTGTTGTTGTTGTTTGAGACAGAGTCTCACTCTGTTGCCCAGGCTGGAGTGCAGTGGCGTGAGCCCTATTCACTGCAACCTCTGCCTCCCAGGTTCAAGTGATTCTCTTGCCGCAGCTTCCCGAGTAGCTGGGGTCACAGGTACCCGCCACCACACCCAGCTAACTTGTCCTGATGTTTTAAGGCTTCCCTCGTAACTGTGTCTATTCCAGGTCACGTGAATGACCTCTGACAGATCCAGATCCATGTAATAATGAGCTTGATTCTCCAGGATCAGTATCAATTCCACTGCCTGTGGCTGTGGAATACTATTCCAATTTGAAGAACTGGCTTTGCTTTGCTTGTTTCCTTGGCCACAGATGGCATGTTTCTAACCCTGTTTACTTCTCTTTCAGAAACATTATTTCTGGTCACATAAGAGACAAGGGAAGAAACATGGTAGATGGTCAGCAGAAATTCATTACTAGAATAACACAGAAATAGATGGAGAAACCCACACTGTCCTCTGTATATACAAGGGTCAGGGATTTGTCCACGGGCATTAAGGCAGCTCATTGATAGGATGACCCATGTCTGCTTCATCAAAATGAGCTGGGCTAGCCAATGATCTTGGCATTCTGAAATTAAATACACCATAATGTGACTAGGAAAAAGCAGATTTCTACAAATCAATTCTAAGAAAGACATTTGGTGCCTATTTTTAGAAAATCTATACTTCGTTAAAGCTCTATTTTGATAACCTTTTCATAGAGATAACAATATTCTAAAGTTAAAGCCAGCTTATGAAAACAGTTAATTTTATTAATACTCATTGAAAATGTGAGTCTTCCCACAGTCACATATAATGCAGTTTTAGTTATAATCTATGCTAAAAGTAAAAGATAGAAGTGAAGTTTAAAAATTATTCAAGATTATTCATTGATTGGTCAGAGAGTACATTTACTAATTCAACAAACGTTTTCCAATCTAGCCCATGCCTGTCACTTTGCGAGGTACTGGGGAAAAGAACGAGAAATACCTCAGATGTGGTCCCAGTTTTCGTGGAGCTCATAATGATTCTTGGGGGGATCTGTACACTGATCAATTTAGTAGGGTAGTTTTAATAGCAAGGAAGAGAAACCTATTTGAGTTTGTTCAAGTAAGAGATTTATCATTAAGATTTCTGTTGCTTAGATTTTGGACTCAGCTCTGGGGAAGCTAATGCCACTCACTCCTGACTCTCCTGGACTACTCAGCCTCTCTCCTCTCTCTGGGGGCACCTCTGCTTCTCTCTGGCTTCTGCTCCCTCATGACGATAGACTGGACTCTCTTCATGATACCTCTTGGTACATTCTTTCTGGTTCTGTACCTGCTGCTAACTTCCTCTCTGTCTTAGTATTTCTGAGTTCAGAATGCCAAGATCATGGATGGTCCAGCTCATTTTGAAGCAGACATAGGTCATCCTATGAATGGGCCACCTTAATGCCAGGCATTTTCCTGGTCCAGAGAGCTACAAAGGAGGAAGAGGAGACAAGGTCATGTAGTCCAAACACGGCCTGCTTGGCCTGCCCCTTCCACATTTTGGCTGGTACGTGGAGGTGTAAATATCTGAGTTACATCGTATCTTAGGTCAAATTATATTCAAATTACAACACAGCTATTTAAATTTTTCTGTGTGAATTTGTCATTGGAAATAATTAAATGTCATTAGATATGCAATAATTCTTTCAAATCACATAAGCACCATATAATTTTAAATAACCTCAGTTTCCAAGAAAGGGCTTGATAAATTGTTAGAAGCACTTTGAAATCACAGAACTTACACTTCAAGGGCTCAGAGGACCATGGTTATATATCAGTTAGGTCAAACTCTTCATTTACAGAGAAGAAAGCTAAGGCCAAGAATGGTGAAGTGACTGCAGATCTAACTTTAGATATTTAGTTAGAGAACTAAAACAGATTTTGAACTCAGAAAACATCCAATAATTATATAGGAGAGGGGAGCAAAGTTAAGGGGCAAGAGGTGTTTACTTCCCAGAGCTTTTGTTTTAAAACAGCAGGGGGAGGGGGAGAGAGAGAAGGAAAGAGGGAGAGGGGAGGAGGGGGCGAGGGAGGGAGAGAGAGAGAGAGAGGGAGAGAGAGTGTGTGTGTGTGTGTATACATGTATATGCACACCTGGATACAAGCATGTAACATACATACACATATATATATAGAGAGAGAGAGGAAAATCATTTCCATTTTCTTTATTGTAGGGAAAAATCATAGTTCATT